TCCTCGACGCCGAGCCCGTCATCCCGTACGCCGAGTTCCCGCATGCCGAGCTCCGAGTCCTCCCAGCCGACCTCGTCGATACGCGTGCTGACCTCGTCGTCCACAGGCGCGCCGACGTCACTTTACACGAGCGCCGAGTTCATACCATCGTCCAGATTCAGTGGGACAAAGACGCCATCGCCCAAATCGACAAGAAGACGACCGAACTGGACACGTGGACGACCATGGCGAACTTCTTCAACCGCGGCTCGAGGTCCGCGCAGGGTTCGAGCGGTGCGAAGGGTGCCGCATCGCAGGCCTCGCAGGGTCGCCCATCTTTCGCGAAGCGTGGTCTATCTTTCGCGATGGGTGACGCGTCTCTCGCGAGCGTCGGCGGTGCTTATCTCGCGAGCGTCTGCGGTGCTTACCCCGCGAACGTCGCATTTTCTGCTACTCGCGGCGCGTCTCTTGCCAAGGGCGACTCGTTTTCAGCGAATCGCGACGCACTCTCTGTGAAGGGCGGTTCTGCGGTATGTTGCCATTCGAAGTACAATCGGCGTACGAGGCTGACGACACTCTGCAGCCGAGTAACAAGGACTTTCTCGCTGTCGAGATCCCGCGCGAGTCGCCGTTCGCGAGGTGGAATTTCTGAGCGTCGTAGCAGCTTTTTGTTGTCTCCCACGTCGTCTCCACAAACCTTTGTCTCCTTCAACCCGAGCTTCTTCACCTCGAACCGGACTTCGTCCGAGTCGTTATAAGGAGGATATGATTGTTTCATCCAGATCCCGCGCTTCGCTATCGTTTACTGCATTACATCTACCGGGACTTTACATTTACATCGACCAGGACTCTATTCCCCTCCCTTCGGATTGTCGACTCTACTTCTCTACTCCTCTCGCTTCAGGCTGTCGCTTGTCTTGCGCTATGTATCGCTACCTTTTGTTCTCCGCCTACGTCGTACTATTAGTACTTCGTCTTCGCTGTACTGGAACAATTCGCTTTTGCATTTGATAATAGAGAACTGCCCTTCGTCCGTCGCTTGGTCAGCACGCCCTCGATATCTCACCCGCATTGCTGCTCGCCGAGTTCCATGTCCGCTAGTAATCCCCAACGCACTCACTCTTCACACCTTCCGTTGTCTGCAGCAGCTAACTCTCCATACAATCGTAAATTGCATATGGATTGCTCGCGGCGCGTCACTTCGTCTCGCTTATAACGAGCATCTCACTCTCCTCTCTCTGACTACTTATGCTCGCTTTCGTGTCCAATGCATTGCAGGTCGTAACTACCTATGATATAAGTGATACACGAAGCTTACACCTTGTCCCGTACCCCGTCGCCCGTCGAGATCACCGCCGTCCGCTCCTCGTCCTTCTCCTCCTCGGTCTTGTTCTCCTTGTGCCCAACGACGCCGACGCCGCGGAGGAAAACCACCGCCAGCAAACTCGCCAGAATCCCGAACGCAAACGCCGTCCACGACGCCGCGTGATACGCGTCCAGCTCCGCCTCGCGCGGCGCGCGCCCCTTGTTCGTCGACATCTCCTGCACATTGTCGTAAACCACCGTCGAGACCGCGATGCCGATGGACGTGCCCAGCTAGCGTGAGGTCAGCGCGCGAGCGAGACTGGGGGAGAAAGTGAGACATACCTGAATCATGGTGTTGTACAGTCCACCACTCACGCTCTGCTCGTGTGGGCGCGACAGCTTCGCGATGAAGATGCTGCCGCCGGCAAACACAAAATCCGCGCCGAACACAGACGTGATCGCGGCGGGGAACCCGAACGCCCAGTACGTCGCATTGGGGTCGATGACCGCGAAGAGCAGCGACGCGATCGAGGTGATCAGCGTCCCGAAGGCTGAACGAAGAGTCAGCTAACGCACTTCACTCGTCACGGGGACACGCACCCATCAGATACACAATACTAACATGCGCGACAAAGGTCGCGACGAAGACATTGCACAGCACGCCCGTGACGAACATGGGGATGAAGCGCACGGCAGCGAGCATAGGCCCATATCCTTGATACTCTTGGTAGAATAACTACGATATGTGAGTGACGAGCGAGCAAGGGGAATCGCGCAGCTCACCTGCGCCCAGAACTGCCAGCTGAGGAAGGCACACCAGTTCAAGAAGGCGATCGCCATCTGGACGCCGTATCGGCCGCGAGCGCGGGCAAACAACGACGGGCGCATGAGAGGCGGGGGTGTCCAGATCGAGTAGGGAACGTTTGGAGTGTCCTGCAAGCGTTCGAGGTAGCTGAGAGAGGTGTCAGAACCGATGAAAAGGGTGAAGGAGCAAAACCACCTTTGCCACACCATGAAAACGGCGATGAAGAATACACCCAGAATCAAGAGGACAATGATATCTGGCCGCAACTGTCAGCTATCGACTGAAATCCTGGAATGAGACGTACATGGCGAGCCCCACTGCTTTGGCTTCGCTACCTCTCCCTGCCCGAGGATAAAGAGGATGAAGGTCAGGCCTGCCGTGACAAGGAACGAGCCGAGCCAGTCCACGCGCTTATCCTTCTCTTGCGAAGGCGGATCTGGGCCGATGACAAACAACCCCCCGACAAAGCACGACCCGGCGAGTGCGGCACAGAAGTAGAAGACGGCGCGCCAGGTATCGCTGGCGAGTCGTGTGTGAGCGGCGATCGTCGAGGACATTCTGTAGCATACCTTGTGTACTGCGTCAGCGCGCCGGCGATTATGAAGCCCAGCACACCCCCGACAGGCGCGCCGGCACCGAAAGTGGCGAAAGCAAGCGAGCGCGCTTTGGAGGGAGGGAATGCGTGTGCTAGAATGCCTAGCTACAGTGCAAGATGCTTGAGCGCGGATGTATCAGGGAATGGGCAAGATCTACGTACTGCGGCCGGGATCGTTGCTGAGCTCCCGACCCCTTGCAAGCCTCGGAGTACCGCAAGCGTCAGGAAATCTGCATACGCGTCAGCATATTATTGCTCGCCAGGTAAAGCACGCACCGTTGACGAAACCGCACGCCAAGGTGAACGCGAAGAGCCATAGGGCGCCGCCCAAGAACGTCTTCTTCCTCCCGTATACGTCCGCGATCCGTCCGAACGTGAGCAGCAGGCAGCCCTGTGAGAAACGTCAGCTAAGGTCAGACAAGAGAAAAGGCCACGCACTGAACTCAGCGCGTACGCATTCGTGATCCACTGCAGCTGGTCCTGCTGGATACCAAAATCCCTGCCGATCGTAGGCAGCGCGATCGAGACTGCCGTCGTATTTGAGATCTGCCGAATTCGTCAGTGTTCACTACCTCTTGATGAAAGAGACTCAAACTGGCCACTGACGTTGACAGCCATGGCGGTCGTGCAGACGGCGGTCAGCATGATGCACCGCGCCAAGCTCGGCACGACGAGGGGCACATCGTCGGCCGCCGGCGTCCTTTGCTTCTCGAGCGCATTGTCCTGCTCGGGCTCGGACACGCCTGTGGGTCCCGACATGAGGATATGGGTACAATGAGCGTCGAGAGCAAGGAGGGAGCCAGGTACTTTTGATCGTCGCCCACGTCACGGCGCTGACATGGTAAAGTCATCCTTTGCGTCCAGCGGAATCAGCATCCTCATGATCTTCATCGTGTCGCACGACGAACACGGAGGTTTTTTTTGTCATCACGGGCGCCGGGTCCGATCGTCGGCGTGATACGCCACGTATTCCTCATTTTGGATGTTTCTTTGCATCTCGGCCTAGCGGAGATAGAAAAGCCGCTGTCATGTTTGAATTCCGGCCGCCGCGAGACCTTGCTGCTGCACAGGACGATCTGCCTCGGTCCGTCTGCTCACCTGGATTCGTTGAGCCTCCGAGTCAACGGCGATCCACGACCGACTACGAAGGAAAATGCCTGTTCGCCGTAAAGTCACATCGCTTCAGCATCCCCTCCGAGCGTACACACGGAGCCCTGACGTACAGACAATCGTTGGGCGGGCGACGTTCGTAGACACTCAGCGTGCCCCCCAGTCGTGTTTGAGTTCCGGATCACAAGCGCGGCGCGTCGAAGGTCGCGTAAATACCTCTCCTCCACAAGCAACAAAATCACAGAATGTATAGTACGCCTCGAGAGATAATCAGAATAGTCTTGCTTGTGTGAGAACGTCGGTGCCTCGGTGTCTTCAGAGGATAGGAGCGAAACTCACCAAAGAGTAATTCGAAGGACGCGAGAACAAGGAACGCGAAAGACAAAGACAAGGCTGCGGTCTAGAGTGCAACATAGTGATTATGGGCGGAGGTTACGTCGGAACCGGCTGTAAAGCATTCGTCGGCGCGAGCAGGAAGTCGTAGATGGCGTCGTGACGCGCACGAGCTGAGCCCAAAAAACCAGCGTGTGCGGAATAAAGTAAGAAGAGCGCGAAAGTGGTAGAAGGAAGCAAGGAAGGGGCGAAGAGGTAAAGAGCGCCAAGGACATACGGCTGTGGAGAATACTAGGCCAGTGAGAAGCGCCGGGCCTTGGGAGGGGATCTAGAGGAAGGTGGCGTCGAAGGCGAGCGACCAACGGTGGCCAGAAGCTTGAAGCGCGAAAAGGAAAGCCTTCGATGCGCAGGTCGAGAGAAAACAAGGACAAGAGACGGACGTAGCGTGAGTCTAGTAGATGTTAAAATCAAGACCATGCGAACCAAAAGGCGGAGACTCGAGCAGCAGATAGAAGACGACAAGCAGTCACGGAGAGGATACCAGCGAGCCAGGCTTGAACGGAATTCCGATCTCTAGTATCTGTCGATCTCGGTCGCTGTGAAAATCAGCGGTGAAGTCGGCGTAGCAGTCAAGACGATCGTGAGGGGCTCTTTTTTCCACGCTTTTATTTTACTGCAGATTTCTCTCCACGCTCACGTGTTAGGTGAGACTTGTTGAGACGACCATGGGCTCTTCACTTGAACCCTTCCAACTCAGAGTGGACATAGTAAGGACATATGCAGGACAAGTCTTACGGCAGCTTGCCCCAGTGACTTGTCGAATGTGCCGTGAGAGGGCGAGAATGATATGGGCGCGCTCGACAAACGTTCACCGCCCGCCTAGCTCAATCGGATAGAGCGTCAGACTCTTACTGACAAGAGGCGGGAATCTGAAGGCTGCGAGTTCGACCCTCGCGGTGGGCTATAAGCATGTTCCGAAGGACAAAATGTCCTTCGCATCCTTTTTTTGCCGCCTCCAAGATGTTTACCGATCGCCCAGCCGTACCGCGGGCTGTGTGTCGCAGGGATTCTGTGGGTCGCCATGCTTAGCAGCTAAGATATCACCTCCCAGGTCTTGTAACGCGACATGGCACCAGTAGTGAAACCAGATACGAATGAACGCGGTCAACACACGTGATGCGTCAAACTTGTGGGCGCTTTCGATCACTTGCACGTGACGGGCGCCATTATACGCGTCTTGGCTTTTACCATCATTAGGCGCGCCCAAATTCAACGATGTCGCTCAAAGTCCCCAAAGCAAACAACATAGAGTTGTTCAAGGAAGGATACAAGGTATGATACAGCAATTTTCAGGACGAAAAACGGTGCACTTACGCCGATATAGCACCTTCAAGGACTCGAGGATGCCGTTTTGCGCAATATTCAGGCCGTCGTTGAGCTCTCTGACCTCGTACGGACGAGTTTTGGTCCCAATGGTACGCTGGCCCTTGCTACGCTTCAGGGATTCCCATTAATGCGCTCTACAGGACGGAATAAGTTGATCATCAATCATCTTGGGCGACTCTTCGTTACTTCAGATGCTGCGACGATCATCCGCGAAATCGAGGTCGTACATCCGGCAGCCAAGCTGCTCGTCATGGCTTCGCAGGCGCAGGAGGCAGAGGTGCGTAGCCCGCCGTTTAACTCGATCATATGCTGACGCGCGTCACAGATGGGCGACGCGACCAACGAAGTGATTCTTTTCGCTGGCGAGCTGCTCAAGAAGGCGGAACAGCTGCTTATCCTCGGTCTGCACCCGAGTGAGATCATGAAGGGGTACGAGATGGCGTCTGCCAAGGCTCTGGAGGAGTTGGAGAGTGCGTGCTTTCCCCTGCGCGAGTACTTGCGACTAACGGGATTGCAGAGCTGTCCACGTCTACTCTTCCCTCACCATTGACAACTGCATCGCTCGCTACTGCTCTCCGACCCGCGATCGCATCGAAGCAGTACGGCGTCGAGGACACGTTGGCTGCGTTGGTAGCGGAAGCGTGCATGGCAGTCATGCCTGCCAACCCGAAGAACTTTAACGTCGACAACGTTCGCGTCGTCAAGATCATGGGTGGAAGCTTGCAAGGAAGCACCGTCGTGCAGGGCATGGTCTTTGGCCGCGAGCCTGAAGGTGCGTGCTCGCGATCGACGTCTCTGACGCATCTAACTCGTGCGACAGGCTCAATAAAGAAGGCCGAGAACGGCAAAGTCGCCGTATACACGTCTGGAATCGACATCTCGCAGACAGAGACCAAGGGCACGGTGCTGCTGAAGAACGCGGACGAGATGCTGAACTTTACGCGAGGCGAAGAGGAGCAGCTTGAGAAGGTGCGTCAAACTATCAAATTCATCCCCTGCTAAACCTTTCCCAGATTGTCAAAGAGATCGCCGATGCAGGCGTCAAGCTCGTCGTCGCCGGATCCGCCGTCGGTGACCTCGCCCTCCACTACCTCAACCGCCACAACATCGCCGTCCTCAAGGTCCTCTCCAAATTCGATCTCCGCCGCCTCTGCCGCGTCGTCGGCGCAACACCCCTCGCCCGCCTCGGTGCCCCCACTGCTGAGGAGGCTGGCTGGGCGGACGTCTTCGAGACCAAGGAGATCGGCGGGGACCGTGTCACCGTCGTCCGCCAGCGCATCCCCGGCGAGCCCGGCTTCCGCCCGGACAGCGCAGCCGAAAAGACCCGCACCGCCACCGTCCTCCTCCGCGGTGCGACGGCGAACCGGCTCGACGACCTCGAGCGCGCGGTGGACGACGGCGTAAACGTGCTCAAGGCGCTCCTACGCGATGGGCGGCTCGTCCCGGGCGCCGGCGCCACGGAGCTCGAGCTCGCCAGGCGGATCGACACGTACGGCGCTGGCATCCGCGGGCTCGCGCAGCACGCCGTGCGCCGGTACGCGGCGGCGCTGGAGGCGGTCCCGCGCGCGCTGGCCGAGAACGCGATGGGCGGGCGCGCGGGGAACGAGGTCATCAGCCGGTTGTGGGCGAAGCACGAGAGCGAGGGTGGCGAGGAGTGGGGCGTGGACGTGGAGGCCGAGACGGACGGTACGCTGCCCGCCGCGCAGCACGGCATCGTCGACGCGCTCGCTGCGAAGGCGTGGGCGCTGCGCTTGGCCGCCGAGGCCGCCGTCAGCGTGCTCAGCGTCGACAGCATCATCATGAGCAAGCCCGCAGGAGGACCGAAGGTGCCGCAGCAGTCCGGCAACTGGGACGAGGATTAGTCGATCTCGCGGCAAGGACTAGTCGAGCTCGCGATGAGGTCTGCTTCGTAGCTACCGGGACGACGAGATAGACATGAGATGTAGTAAAACGCGTAATACTTACCTGTATCCATAGTTACTTTGGCGCGCGTACGCTCAGCGCGGAAAGAGCTGTCGTTGCTGACCGCACACTTGGTGGTGATTTTGAGCCGATGATTCCGTGCTCGTCATGTACAGCTGTGTTAAGGTCGAGCCGCGGCCTCGTTTGCATTTGGGCACGCGCTCGTGTGGCATGGTATCATCGTAAGCTTGACGGCAGAGCCGTAACTTTCGCGAGAGCTGGATCGATCAAAGTGCGCCTCAAATAGTAGTATGAATTCGGTGTTAGTCTTTGTACGAGCTAAGGGGACAGGAAGGTATGCGTGAAGTGATGGTACAGTAGTACGAGTACTTAGTACTTAGTAAGCGGCATGAAGCTCGAGTGCAACTTTAAAGGCGAGAACCCGTCAGCTCGGCGCAAGTGCCCGCCAGCTCGGCCTCGGCCACCTCCAGCTGCAGGAGCTGCTCAAGCACCTCCGCCTCCAGGTCATACAGCTTCTGGACCTGCATCGATAGCTCAGCACGTAGCGCCTTGCGCTCCAGCGCATGAACCTGCGCGGTGTCGGACGTCGCCTGCGCCTGCGCGATAGTGGACGCCGCCGCCGCCGCCCTCTGCGCCTCCGCCTCCTCCTGCGCCGTCTTCTCATCCGCCTCCTCCTGCGCCTTCTTCTCATCCGCATCCTGCTGCTCCTTCTTCGCATCCGCCTCCTGCTGCGCCTTGATCTTCAGGTACTGTGCATAGAGAAGAGCCTGGGAGGGTGGATGGTAGTCGCGCAGGCGGTACAGATACGCCTCCCTGTCGAAAGGAGGCTCCTCGTCCTCCTCGACGAATACCAGGTTCTGGGAAGCGATCGCCGTGCTCGAGATGGTGTTCGAGGCGGTGTTGGGGACGGTGGTCGAGACGGTGTCCGTGATGGCGTTCGTAATGGTGTGGAATACGCAGACGGTGTCAGACGCGGTGAGCGGTGCAGAAGGCGCACTCTCGGCGAGCGGCGCAAGAGGCGCACGTACAGGAGCAGGGTAGGTGGCAGAGGAGGACTGATACTGGTAGGCGGAGGGGAGGGTGCCGATCGACGGGTAGAAGGCGCCAGCGTGCTGCATGCCTTGAGCGCTTTCTGCCACAGTGTATGCGCACGCACAAAAGGCGTGGTGGTAAAGACAAGCGGAAGATGGCGCGTCATAGGTGCCGAAGGAGGGTGTGGTATTGACGAAGTCGAGGCTAGCGCTGTAGGCAGCGAGAGCCGCGCCGCTATGAGTGTGATGCGTCATGTAGCCAGCCTCATAGGCATACAGATAATCGAGATCGTGGGGGTGCTGCAGCGCGTGACATTGCATCGTCACGTATGGGTTATGCTGATAGTATTGGAGGTGCCCATAGCAGGACATCGAGGCCAGAGAATGCGAAGACATGTACGGTGTAAAACCGTAGAGATAACTCGCTCCGGGCTCCGCGTACGCGAGGTAGCGGTCAGACTCGGAGCGCGGGGTGTCGAGGTCCATTCTGTTGCTGGATGTGTCGTGTAGAATGGTTGTAGAGGTTGACGGGCGTGGGCTCGGGCGTCGACAAGAGGTTCGTCGGCGGTGAGGGTGGGTGGCGACAGAGATACTGCGAGAGGTATCTCAGCTCTTTATAGCCGGTGACCTCGTGTGCCGGGATGGCCGCTGGCCCCGATGGAAGAACAATGGGGGACTGGCGTTTTACGTGAGGCGTGGCATCCCTGAACGGCGGCGGAGGCCAGCTGAAAACATGAGGCAGTCATTCATCGACCATATATGGTAATAATCGTCGGGATGAGGGCTGTGCAGGAGTTCGAAGATCGATAGAAGGTCTACGCACAAAGGGGAGAAGCGTGATGCAGCTGTCAACGCGCTTTCCTGTACGTTGGACAATGGACAGCGTCCGCATATTGCACTGAGCGGTGAGGTTGCGTAAAGACGAGTTGATCGGGCCGCATATGAGCTTCAGTGCCCATTGCCTTGAGAATCGAAGCTTGGTACTCACGAGACGAGGCGCGCGACCGATCCAAACAGAGGCAATATGTGGATCTCGTTTTGTGGCAGGAAGCGGCGCATCGACGCTTTCTTTTAGAAATGCGAATGATACAAAGGCATGTAGGCTTGGAGACCTTTCTACGCCTCAAGGGTGTTGAGCTGCGCTGCCGCAACACCTAAGTAATGCTCGACATGATCTCCTCGGATGTGGGCGTCGTGGTCAAGCCGCCGCGGCACCTCGAGGATTTCCACGTGACATGTGACATGACGCGTAGATTAGGCGCCCGTTCACCGCGTGGCTCTCTTGTCCCTTGCCATCGCCGTCGCCTCACGCGTTCGTGGTGATGGCGCCCAAGTTCAAGAGGAAGGAAAGCATGATTTGAAAGGTAAATGCTCAAAAGTATTATTGATCTTCAACCTCAGGAGTACAAAGTCCCGAAGAACGCTGTCTTCCTCGTCGTCGTCAACCCGTGGGGGCAGGATGGCATCGACCGGACCACCAGCCAGCGCGGCTTCCACAATAATTTGGGCGCATGGCTGGAGATTGCTTGTGGCAGTCGTCCGACTTGCGTTTACTATCAGGGAACGGTGCGTTTGCAACGTCGGCGCACCACCGAGCATCTGACGCCGAACTCGACAGCACGC